CAATTTATTTAACTAATATTAACAAAAATTTAATATTTTAATTATTACATTTAAAAAAGAGTATAATAGACATTATAAAATTTTTTGATACACTTTTAATTTTGTGGCAATTTATTTAACTAATATTAATAAAAATTTAATATTTTAATTATTACATTTAAAAAAGAGTATTATAGACATTATAAAATTTTTTGATACACTTATAATGAATTTTGTTAGAATATTTTCACTTATATAAAATTACAAATTACATCTTTAGTAAGTAGTAAAAAAATTCTAATGAACATACCCTAAAATTTTTTTTCTAAATCTTTAATATAAAAAATCACAAAACATAATAAGAGATTCACTAATTAAAAGAAAAAAAATTATAATATTAAAAAATCTGTCTCAGTCTCCTCTAGTTACTACTCCCTCGAGATTCTCCTTTCATCTCTCTATTCTTTCACTTGTCACTTATCACCCCATAGGGTTAATCTTCATAGTAAAAGTGTCTCTATCACACAATTATAAGTTAGATGATAACATAAATTTAAATTAGATTCAAATAGGAGTTTAGATTTAGCCAAAGCCCCATTTGTACTCTCCAATTATTTCTTTTCTACTGTTAACACCTTCCAAATATTTTTATCTCGATTAACATCCTTCATTTTTCAAAACTCGTGAAAAACTCAATATTTTAACGGGTCGTTACATCACCATTAATAATCGCTAAAAAGTATAATATGTGGCATCCAAATAATGATGTGGCATTATTTATATAACATGGATGATTTTTTGATGATGTGGCAGGATGACATGGCATAATTTTATGTGAAAACCTCCAAAAAAAAAAAAAAAAACAAGAATAGGGGAAACCGAGAGATGGGTTCCTCGTGGAACCCAGAGCGAAGGAACCCAGAACTGGGTTCCATTGAGAGGAACCCGATATGGGTTCCTTGTTGTGAGGAACCCAGCTTTGGGTTCCTCGTTGAACCTAGCTCTGGGTTCCATGATCATGGAACCCAGTTTGTATCTTTCTTTTACCTTTCTTTTCTATGATTCTTTTTGGTTTTGATAGAATAATAAGATGATGATTTGATTCTTTGATAGGTTCTCAACTTTTCTTGCAAGTGAATTAAAAAATTATTCTTTTTTTTCAAATTTGAATCAACCTCCATTAAAACTATCTTGCAAGTGAATTAAAAGATTGCTCCTTTTTTTCCAATCTGAATCAACCTCCATTAGAACCATGGAAGAAATCTTTTTCGATCTTCCATGGAGGTTGGGTTCCACGAGGAACCCAAAACTAGGTTCCTCACGAATGAAGATGATGTTGAGGATGAGGGGTAAGAGGAAGGTGAAGAAATTAAAGTTAATTATGATTTAATTCATTAAATTTTCTATTTTAGTTTTTTTTTTTTTGGTTGTGAGGTTTTCATATAAAATTATGCCATGTCATCATGCCACATCATCAAAAAAATCATCTATATTAGATAAATAACGACATGTAACGTCCACGTCATTATTTAGATGCCACATATTGCACTTTTTAACTATTATTAACGGTGATGCAACAATCCGTTAAAATATTGAGTTTTTCACAGATTTTGAAAAATAAAAGGTGTTAAAAATATTGAGTTTTTCACAGATTTTGAAAAATGAAAGGTGTTAATTTGGAGAAAAATATTTGAAAGGTATTAACTACAGAAAAGAAATAATTGGAGGGTGTAAATAGGGGTTTTGACCATTTAGATTTTATAAATACTTGTCACATGATGATCTTCAAAATTCCTTAAATATTTGATTTAATTCCTTAAATATTTGTTTTAGTCTCTCTTCAATTAGAATTCCAAAACTGAGTTGAATTCTAAATTTGAAAACAAAAAAGAGCTCACGGACGGATGCCAATTTCCTACCGAGGTGTCGATACCATTTTTAATTGAGGTCCCGAAACTTTGGCCAGGGGTTCCGAGACCTTGTTGGATTAGAGTAAAGACCTTACTTATTCGAGGCAAACTCTAGCCGCAGGCAATCAAGGCATATCACAACAATCTCCGCCTTGACTTGAATTTCTTGAACACATACTCCCCCTTAAATCGAATGCTCTCCCTATATCTTGGCCTTCTCCCATATGTGCAAGAGAAACCTCTACATCATTGTTTCATCATTGTTTCTTCTTCCAATTTTTGCTTACTGGACCAATCCAGCGCATGTCTTCATTGCCTTCTTCAAGGTCTTCATTGCCTTCTTCAAGTTAACAATCTCATTCGTCAAATCCACAATATCATCTATATCGTGAACGTGTCACCTCAAAATGTCAAACTCTTCTCTTGATCAAGGAGTTGGCTTATTTCCCAAAATTGAAACCATAAACTCTGATACCATTGTTGGAATTAAAATTTCACCTTTAATATTTGGTCATAATACTGATAATAAAATTTTATTTGTGTGTTTTAATATTAATTGTTGAGATTTGATTTACTAAGAAATTATAAAAATAAATAATAACAAAGTAAAATAATAAAAAAAATTAATTTAATTAAAAAACACTTAATAAAAAAAAATCACAAAATAAAGTAAAAAATCTACTAATTAAAATAAAAAAATTACAATATTAAAAGATCCTTCTCATTTATTACCCATAATCTCTTTAAGAATTCCCTCCACATGGTCCTTACATCTCCCTATCTTTTAACTTGCCACGTGTCACCCAATGGGAGGTAAGATTTTCACATTTGTCAGGTCCACACAATTCTAAACTACCTCGTGGGTTGTTGAGATGAATTTGTTTTTAAAGAAAGAAAAATATTATTATTAAAATTAGATAATAATATAAAATATATAAAAAATAATATTAAATAATTAATTTATAGATATTTTAATAAGTCTAAGAAATTTTATAATACTCTATAATAAAAATTTATAAATCTAAAAGTGTTTTTGTCAAACCTAACTTATTTGATTTAAAATAGGGCAAAACCTCTATTTGCACCCTCCATTTATTTTTTTTTCACGGTCAACACCTTTCAGAATTTTTCCTCCCTATTCACACTCTTAACTTTTCAAAACTCGTAAAAAACCCAACATTTTAACTCGCCGTCACGGTACCGTTACAAAATGTACTACGTGGCACTCAAAAATCGACGTGACCACTATATGCCGTTAGTAATCCAATGTGGATGCTTTTTTTTTGATGATGTGGCTTATTTAAATAAAAAAATATAAAAAAAAATTTAGAACAGGAGCTCTGGGTTTCGGAACCCAAAGCTGGGTTCCCGAATCCAGAGCTGGGTTCCTTGTGAGGAACCCGATCTGGGTTCCTCACGACGAGGAACCCAGAGTTGGGTTCCTCACAACGAGGAACCCAGAGTTGGGTTCTTCATGGGTTCCTCCGGAGGAACCCAGCTCGAACCCGATCTGGGGACGAGGAACCCAGATCGGGTTCCTCACAGGGAACCAGCTTTGGGTTCTGGAAAAATTTTTTTTTTTTTGGTGGGGGACGTGGGGACAAGGGAAACCGTGTAGTGGGTCCCACTGCACATGTGGTGTCCGCGTGTGCAAAAAAAAAGCCACGTCATAAAAAAATAGATCCACGTTTGAAACTAACGAATAAAGAAACGTCGCATGTGCCACGTCAATTTCTGGGTGCCATGTAGTGTATTTTTTAACGGTGTCGTGACGGTCCGTTAAAATATTGAGTTTTTCACGGATTTTGAAAAATAGAAGGTGTGAATAGGGAGAAAAAATTCTGAAAGGTGTTAACCGTGGAAAAGAAATAAATTGAGGGTGCAAATAGGGGTTTTGGCCTTTAAAATATAATTAATTTTAAGATTAAATTCACAAAAATATGTAAAGGAAAAGAAAAACT